TTATGAAAACTACATAGTACGCTGTGTGGCTCCATAGTTGTGAAAATGGGTCATTCTTTTCTTGTGTCCCTACTTTCAATCCTATATGTTCCCTGAATCATTGGTCCTTTCTCTTGCTATTTCCTCAAAACCCAAAGGGGTAGTTGCTGTCAAAACTCAATGCAGAGTGAGGATTTCCATGCCCTTCCAGAACATAAAGGAAGCTATATTTAAAACTGTAAAAATCAGGAGGTACAAAGTTAAGGTAATCTCCTTGTGCAATTCTAAATTTGCCATCTTAGAACGCTTGCATAATGAGATCCTGTGATTAGAGATCATTAGACTGCTGCCACTGGGCTCATGAAGTACGGAGGGTGAAGAAGAACAGTATAGAGAAGATTAATATAAAACATCTGGGCTAGAAAGAAGTCAGGTTTAGCAAACATGAGCTGGCTATGCCAAACGTATAATCATCCACTTGCCTATTTCAGACAAACCATGAAAGATTTGCCAAATGTTAATACCCATTCATCTCTGGGATATTGCTTTTGGTTAGCAGTGACTGAGTCTTGTGATTACTAGTACTTGCTGTTGCAGTAGTGGATTACAGAGGGTGCAAGGTGCAGAGCAACTCGTGAATTTGGATGTGGAATTCTTGTGGGCACTGAGAATATGCAGTGAGGTACGGGAATAGGGTGAGGCCTTGTAATATTCCCATTTCTTCCTGTTATAAGTAGTAGATATGAAGATGCAATGACTGTGATAGGTGTACTACCAGTCTGGCCACTCTGTGGATGGTTTTAAAACTTTATACACTTATTCTAGATTTTGGAGCCAGACAGAACCATTAGGCTCATCTAACCAGACCCCCTACATACCTCACCTCAGGAAAAAAGGCAAGAGCTCCTTAGTGTGATTGTAATTCTTCCTAAATCCAGTTTTGCATCCTTCTACTTGCCCAGGCAGTCTGCTCCCTTTAACAGATCTTCCTTAAACACAGCAAGAGCCCAAGTGTCTGAAGACAAAGGTGTTGAATTGTTAGACACGAGATGAAAATGGAAGACTGTGCCAGGTAGAAGTCAAACTTGGTTTTGTTCCATTGCCTGTTACCAGGGATGGGAACAAAGTTATTGGAGGATGTTTCATTAACCCTGTATTTCCTAGTTTTCACAGTCTATTTAAATTGCCTTTCAAACATATAGCACTGCCTCATGCCCCTTGAAAATACCACTGCTGATGAAGGGTTTTAGGCTTTGAATTTGCTCATATAGTGGAAAGAGCACTGACCTAATGTGGGCACTTAAGCCGCTTGCAGGCGTTAAAAGCCAAAACAAAATGCACTTTACTAGAAAAAAGTGGCACAGTAGTTCAGCCCAGCTCCTCAGTGTTTATATAGATTGGGCACTTCAGGGGCACTTTTACCTAAAGCTGATTCAATCAGCTATTGGGGGGGGGGGGGAGCACCGAAAAAGCCCCACTAAAGTACCCAGTCTAACCCATTTTTTGTTAGTTTTAACATCTGAAGCAGCCTTATTAAAGTAGGTAGTATGGCACAATAAAAACAGCCTCAGCTTTTTGGAGTTGGAGAACATACTGTTGCCCCACTTCAGGAAAAAGATTCAGGACCTGGGCACTTTAATTATTTCATCTTTATTTACGCTATTGGGCAGTTAGGCCCAAAAGAAAAGATATGCTTTAAACTAATGAGTGGCATTGTAGTTCAATATGTATACTTTTTTTTTTTTTATCATCATACTTATCAATTACTAAAACATGTTTTTTAAATGGTTCTGTAGCAAAAAAGAAAAGAGAACCCACAAAGAATTCGGAGTTTAATAGCTGCAATTACAGAGTATTTGTCAGTGGTGGCAGCATGTGCATTGTACTGATTGGAGCTCCCAGGGCATGCTGAGTACAGTACCAGTCATCGTATTTTCTTACATGTGATGCGCAGTCTGTTCTGGCATTATTTTAGTTTAGACTTATGACTATCCATTAGTTCATCTAATCACTTCCAAATGTGGAACTTTTGGTATTTTTCAGTAGTAGGTCCTCAGGAAGAGTTTCTTCATCTTTTTATTTCTGTTAGTTGATTTTTCAACAACCCTCATGTCCTGGTTCTCTTATTAGGAAGAGATGAAAAGATGCTGTGTTAGCCTCATCTCTCTCTAGGCTAGTGCAGAGGCTGTCTTCCTTTCCTTGCTCAGAGTGAATATTTAGACTTGATCTTAAGGTGCTGTCTCATACTGCGTTATAAATTGTGTGTGCAAGCCTAAGAGATTTTATCTCTGGCTCTTGATAATATTGTATTAAAAAAATCTTTGACACCTTGGGAGAAAAACGGAAATCTGTTTAACCAAGAGCTGTGGATTTTACTAGTGCTATATTTAAAACTCATTGGCCTTTCCACTAGATGTGGAATTTCTTGAATTGCATCAATATCTATATTTATATTGAAGCCTAGATAGATTTTTTGTTTTGTTTTGTTTTGTTTTTTACTACTTTTTCAATGAAAGGTTTCTCTATAGATTGGCCAGTTACTGATCTTGTCATGCCATGTCAACTTGGTGATCTTAAAATGTAACCTTACAAGGAAAAGTGGAGGTTGCTCGTGTATTCTTCCTATGGAGAAGAGATTCATCATTGTACTGCCAAAAATACTAAAATGAAATTGACCCTGACAGCCACCCTTTCAGTATATGGATGGGAGAGAAGAGTGTTATCTGTAGCCTTTGTCTACAGTCTATAATATACTGCACAGTATTGGGAACAAGGAAAGAAGGCAAGGCATGTTTAAGTCAAGCTGTCTGTACACCTATATTATTATTTAGCATTCTTAGTGTGGAATTGCTGTATATCTAAATTGGTATTGGTTTGTGAAATGCTGAAAGTTAGTGGCAGCACCAGAAAAATAAGTGCTGTAGATCATACATGCCTGGCTACTAGTGCAGCATTCTTGAACTGCTGCCCATTTAGGACTCAGCAATCTCCTTTAATGGAAACATGTTTTCTTCAATATTTCAGTTTGTTTATTGCTTATAAATAAGTATGAGGTTGGTGATTTTTAGTTCCAGAATCGTTACTTTTTTTTTTGTAAATGTCTAATTACTTCCAACTCGTGAAACTTCTGGATTTTCAATAATACATCTTTAAAAACAGTATTTATTCGTTTTTAAAAACTCTATTAATTTAAACAACCCTAGTATGCAGATTCCTTTTCCTGAAGAAAAAAAAAAAAGATGTAGTGTTTTGAGCTATGCTGAAACAGAATAAGGGACTACTTGGTAATTTGAGGTTGGGAGAGGACAAAATTTGGGTTTATCACAGATTTATTGTTGGTTGGGGAAATAAATTGTCAGTGTGTAAATTCTGACCTAACCAATACTACAGAATAAATATGGGTAGTGTGAGTATGAAATAAGTCAAGGGATTACATTTGAACTAATGGTCACTTTTTTTTATTTAGAGGGTTATGAATCCTGAAACAGAGAGGCTCCACTTCATTCCAGACATTTATAAATATATAGTTGTGGCACCTAATGTTGTCCCTGTAACTTGTTAAAGGTTTTGTGATGACTACAGCCTCTCTCCAGGATTGGAGCATAATGCACTTGTTTTACCGGAGAGTTTTTTTTTCAAAAAAGGAATGTTGCGAAACATTTCATAAAGATATTTAGAAATGGGGTTTGCCTAATCTCTTCTGAAAGTTCATTCTGTAACTGCTTGAAAGAGTATCCAGTCTTCAACCTGCTTTGTCCCAGACTAAATAACGTCAAGACAAGTTTAAAATTTTTGTTTGTTTGGTGTTTTTTTTTTGTTTTTTTTTAACGTGGATGTGGCTTAATCTGCAAGTACTTTGAAAACTGGGAGTAAGACCTTGAATTCAGTGAGGAGTCGAGGCTTTTTTCCATGTTGGGAGGCTCTGTGCTTTCATTTGGAGGATGTTGGCAATGATAAAGCAGTATTTCTGCTAGTTCTTTAAATGATTTCCTTTCCTAACCAGCATCAGCTGTTCTTCATTCAAGAACTGATACTTGATGGCAGTGATTGCACTAATAAAGTTAAAATAATCCATTATAAAAGTTCTTGATGTTCTTGAAACATAGCCACTGGTCTTGTGTAGATATTGAAGAGATGTGTGGTGGCTGGTTGCGGGAGGGGATGTGTGGAGTGGTGAAGGGGAGACACGAGCAGTTCCTCCTCCAAGGTGAAATTATATTTTCTATGTATTTCTAATAGGGAGTGCTGCTTGGATTTTTGTTTCTTGTCTATTTGAAAATTGGATTGAAACAAGCCAAGTTGAAAAATGGCCTCTCATTTTAAGGTGTTTTTTAAAATAGTTCCTGTAAGGAAAATGTAAAGCATTCTGGGATCTGCTTTGCGTATCAACCTAGCAGTGTTGGTTTTTGCTACTTTTTGGAGTTTTCTGCTACCTCACATGTAGTTCAAGCTAATCAAATTCAGTTGAAACTTTCTTAACCCATGTATTCTTAACTTGATTTAAGAACTAAAGATATTAAAGCACTCAGGAAATATGAAGTTGAGCCAGTATTAGTATATATTTGTTACAGTAATAGTATATATCTAATGTATATTATTAGGATTTTTTTTTCCTGCACCTGCTCTGATTCCCTTCCCCTTTCCAGTATGCTCTGCTTTTTCCTGTCCTTTGCTCCCCGCTCAATCTGCTGCTCACTGCTTTCTCCTTCCTGCCCTATTGGTCACTATGCTGCTTGTTTCCTCCCTGAATTGCCACGTGGTATACATACAAGGGCTGCTCATACCACTTATGGCACACGTGCCACAGATTGGCCACATCTGACATAATGTATTTCCATAGAACTGTTTTTGTGGCTGTTTTTATTGCCATAACTCTTAAAATAAACCTTAGAGCTTGAGGGCTCAACCTGGGAGTTGCAGGAGGATGGAAGAAGGATTTCAACTTTTTGTAACATTTGTTCAAGATGTGAGAACAACTGGGATTTGCATTCTGTTGACATTTTACCTGTACAGGATTCATATTGCATACAGGAAATTTGAGTAAGTAAATTTTTCAAGCCTTGTTTTTAAAATAGTTCTCTTAGTAGCTTTTTCATCTTTAACAGTTGGTTCAGTGCAGGAGGAAGGAGGACATGCTATTATTGGGTGGTATTTAATAACATGACCTACTTTTTGGGGTAGCAGCCAGCACTAATAATAAATTTTCCTTTGAGGTGTTCCCTCGATAAGCGGTATCTCGGTGATTATAGTCAGAACAGCAGCTGCAACACGTGTGGGGAATAAATTTCTTTAATTCTGTTTTGGTCTCAAACTAGAAGAACCAGCAGATCTTGCATAAGGGCAAACCCCTCAGAACAAGCAGTGGCTGTTGGTTCAAGTTTCAGTGACTTTCCTTGTGCTCCTGCCTTTGGTATAGACATCTACATTTAAAGTTTTGATTTATTTCAGAAATGGTTGGAATTTTTTGGCTTTTGTCTGTCTACCCTTAGGTTGCTGCTACAATAGCTTGAATTAATTTACTCTGTTTTGAGCATATATTATTTTGAAAACAAAAATGTGTTTACTTGAACTAAACTCTAACTAGCTTGTTCCTTGCATGCGTTCTAAATTACGTAGTTTAGCTATTTTCTTCATAGAGAATGTTCGTTTTTGCACGTGTTGCACTCCATTGAAGAGACGGAAATATTTGCCTCTTGTCAAATGTTTCTATGTAGGTTTCCATTGTTTACATAAATTTGGATTTCATTAAGTTCTATACCCTCCTACATATTTAAATATTTCTCTGTTGCAGAGATGTATATACAGCATAATACAGAATTGGCTACATCTACTGTGACTTTTATGTTCTGTGAGCCACAATTACAGGAAAAATTAAAATTGTTTCAGTGGCTCCTACTCTTTAGGAAGGATGTGGATTTCTCTCTTTCTAGAAAATATGGGAAGAGTAGTTGCAACCTTTGCTGGTGTGGGCCAGATGAGTGGCTCAGGGACAGTACATGGGCAGAATTGGGCCCCATGCTGCCTCCTGGGGATCCAAGCTACAGGATCAGGATCTCTACACAGCCTCTAGTTATCTGTCTGTGAATTGGGCCCTGGGCAACCTCTATATGCAGATTAGGGGGCTCCCTACAGGCCCAGTAATATGGCAGCAGAGGAACAACAGTTAGTGCTACCACTCCCCCACTGCCAAATTTTTTGATCCCTAAGGATCCTTGTGAGCTGGATGGCATGGAACTGCAGGTCCAGGATTGAGCACCCCTGCTTTAGAGGTTTAACTCAAGGCCAGGACAGGATGGGGAGGGATTTTTTCCTCCTTTTTAAAAGAGGAAAAATAAAATGTCATTAGGGTTTTAAAAAAGAAGCTCAAGCAGATTTGAATGTTAAAGGTTGAATCTACTGTTACAGATTCTGTAATCCATTCCTTCATATGGTTTTTAACTCCAAAGGCCCTTTCTTTGATTAGTTATTGCCTCTGTTCCTGCAGAGTCTGAAAAGCTAGGAAGAACTTTTCAATCTAGTTTTACTTGAGAGTAAATTCATCTGTGCTGTTCTTTTCAAAGACAAGTTCACTGCTGTTTAATTTCTGTTAGCTTCAGGAAATTTGTCCTCCCTTCCTTTTATGCTCTTCTCTAGGTCAAGACAGATTTGTATTCTATGGTCCATGAAGTAGCTATATATCCATGTGTATGTAAATATAATATAGCTGCAGCAAACAACTATATGAGGCTTCTGCTGAGCTCCAGCTGATCAGAGAAGTGGCATGCTGTGAAATGGAAGCTGTGGCAAACAGCTGATCAGCTCATCTTTAATTCAGCAGCTCACTGAACTAATTGGGTTGAGAGCCACCCAGACACAAATGATATGGGTTCTGCTGCACTATAAGGATATAGATGAGTGGAGCTCTGGAAAATCTCAAATAGAAGGAGATATGTTCTATGGAAGTACTGCTTCTAGTAGAGCACAATTGGAAAATAGTTGTGTGGTTTTCATATGGGCATCTCAGTACCATGATTCTTATCTCCAAAAACAATTTTGGATAGGATGCTTTTCGCTTCTGTTGATTTAAGTGATATCTTCCATAATCTGTTTTGAAGGTAGTGGGAGAAGCAATGGAAATGAAGACAACAGTAGCTTTGCCACTTTAAACTGATGGGAAGAGTTAATTTTTCCTTCTCCAGTGATAGTTCAAAACACCTAAACAAAGCTACTGTGGAAGACAGCCAGTAAGCCAAATGAGTACTGGAATAATATGTTGGTGTAAATTCAAGCATACCTCCCTTCTCTATAATGACCTGTACATAAAAACACTGTTCACTGAACTAGTCTGAGGACCACATTTGCCTGGCTCTCTAGGTGTCTGGAATATTTGTCAAGCTATGGTGAAAGTAGTGTTGCTGTTCTAGAAAGCAAAAAGTCTAGTTCTTTCACTGGACTTGTCTATGTTGTCACTTATGTGTTTTATGAGGTTACAGGCTGCATTGGCACTGTCAGTGATAGGTATTGCCATTTTTATAATGCTCAAAATAGCTGGCTTCTAAACATGATGGCTTAATTAGAGTGGAATGTAGATCCTTGACTCTTCCACTGATTTTTGTACTTGGCTAAAAATAACTTAAAGTTAAAATATACTAATGCGTCAGTTGTTCATGCTGCAAGTGAGAAGTGCCAGAAGTAAATTTCTAAAATACTTTAATAGAAACAAAAATAGACATGCAAAGTAGGGAATCACTAAGCTGAAGATTTTTTTTTTCATTTTAAATTTAAAACTCCAAGTGATTGATTGATTTTTATTTTAATTTATTTATTTTTAACATGAGATGAAGAGACAGGGAGAAGCTTCCAGGTTATAGTCTTTTCTCCTCCCCTCCCCCAGTAACTTGGTTATCAAATCTTGGGATCACTTTCATTTGGTTTGGCTAAAGTATGTAAGATTAACCATGGCTACCCATAACTTTTGAGGTTACTGACTTAAGCCTGTGTTCCATTATTATAGATACATGACCGACTAATCTAATGAACTGTAGGTGGGTAAAATGTCAGTCCCGATTCTGATGGACAATAGGTGCCTAATTTCAATTATTGTAAACTGTATCCCATGTAGATGCACCCACTGTGCGCTTTACTGTGGAGTTGACAGTCCACAATGTCTACACGTGTGCCAGAATTGGAGCATAGTGAATTAATTATCCCTGCCATAAGGCAGTACTGTTCCCAACAGTTCTATCTTATGGCAGAGTAATTCATGCCCTAGCCAGCCCCGGTCATTTTCTACATGCGCATTTTGTCTCACAGTGCTAAAGTATGGTGGCTGCTGGCCACACAGCTCCACACTTGGCACTCCTGTGGCCCATTCAGTTCCTATGCTGCTACTTGGGGATGACTCCCCAAACCTGCTGCCTGAGCCATGGTGGAGCAGCCCCAGGCTAAGTGCTGTGGTCCTGGGTGCACATGTAGACACTGCATCTGGGAGCAGCTGACTCCAGGTTGAGCTGCTCTGGAGTTTGTCACATTAATTTCACATGTAGATGCTGAGAGGTAATCTTGTGGCTGCCTGTAAATACAGCAGGGAATAGGCGATGTGATATTTACTAGGGCACCCCCTGGAGTAACTAGGAACAGTGGCCACAAATTGACAGAGAGCAGATTTAGGTTGGACATTAGAAAGAACTTCTTCATAGTACATGTTGCCAAAATCTGGAATGGGCTTCTGAGGGAGGTGGTGCTCTCTCCTACCTTGCGGGTCTTTAAAAGGAGACTGGACAAGCACCTACCTGATCCCAGCGCTCTTTCCTGCCCAGGGCAGCGGACTGGACTCTGACCTACTGAGGTCCTTTTATGACCCTAACAACTATGAATCTGTGCACGCAGTCTGTGTACATGCTGTTAGTCAGTCAGCTCATCAGTAGGTTTTAATGTCCATGGAGCCGAATGGGATGCACCTGAGGGTGCTGAGGGAGCTGACTAATGTGTTTGCAGAGCTGCTGTCCATTATCTTTGAAAACTCCGAGCTATCGGGAGAGGTCCCAAATGATTGGAAAAGGGCAACTAATGTGTTTGCAGAGCTGCTGTCCATTATCTTTGAAAACTCCGAGCTATCGGGAGAGGTCCCAAATGATTGGAAAAGGGCAATATTTAAGAAAGGGAAGAAGGAGGATCCAGGGAACTACAGACCAGTCAGCCTCACTTCAGTCCCTGGAAAAATTATGTTGCAAGTCCTCAAGAAATCCATTTCTAAGCACTTGGAGGAGAAGGTGATTAGGAACAGTTGGCATAGATTCACCAAGGTCAATTCATGCCTACCCAACCCGATTGCCTTCTATGATGAGATGACTGGCTCTTTAAATGCACGGAGACCAGTGGATGTGATATACCTTGATTTTTAGCATGGCTGTTGATTATGGTTTCTTATAACATTCTCTCAGGCAAGTGAAGGAAGTACAGGCTGGATGAATGAACTGTAAGATGGATAAAAAAAACTGGCTGGAGCATTGGGCTCAGAGGGTAGTAATTAATGGCTCTATGGCTAGTTGTCAGCCAGTATCAAGTAGAGTGCACCAGGGATCAGTCCTGGAGCCAGTTTTTGTTCTACAACCTGGAAGATGGCATAGAGTGCACCCTCAGCAAGTTTGCAGATTATAGCAAGGAGCGGGGAGCAGTAGATGTGTGTGGGGGTGGGGGGGAGAGGCATAGGGCTAGGATTCAGAGTGACCTAGACAAATTGGGCCAAAAGGAATCTCATGAGGTTCAACAAGGACAAGTGCAAAGCCCTGCACTTAGGATGGGCCAGTGCAGGATAGGGGGCTGATTGGCTGGGCAGCAGCTCTGCAGAAAAGGACCTGGGGGATACAGTGGACAGTAGGCTGAATATAAGCCAGCAGTGTCCCCTTGTTGCCAAGAAGGCTAATGGCATACTGGGCTGCATTGGTAAAAGTGTTGCCAGCAGGTCAAGGGAAGTAATTATTCCCCTCTATTCAGCACTGGTGAGGCCACATCTGGAGTACTGTGTTCAATTTTGGGCATCCCAAAAAGAATATGGACGA